GGTGTATTGATCAACGTTTATCAATAAAATCCATACATGTGTTTGTGAATGAACACAAAAAAGAAGACATTGATCAAAATTGTCTAAGAAGCGAATATCGGTTTCTTCGATTTCATTATTTTAAATTGCGCCTAATTCTGCCACACATAATATTATGCTGCAATATAGACCAAAAGGAAGCTTTTCAAACTGTGAAGCTTCGAGAGTTTCCAATCTCTTGTCAAAGCCTGGTGTTCCCACACAATGTGTGTGTGTGTGTGTGTGTGTGTGTGTGTGTGTGTGAGTTTGTGTGTGTGTGAGTTTGTGTGTGTGTGTGTGTGTGTGCGTGTGTGTGTGTTTGTGTGTTTGTATGTGGGAGGGTTGTGTGTGAGTGTGTGTGTGTGTATTCGTGTGTGTATGTGTATTTGTGAGCTTGTGTGTGTGTGTGTTTGTGTGTGAGTGTGTGTTTGTTTGTTTGTGTGTGTGTGTGCATGCGTATGTGTGTATCTATATATTATATGTGTGTATATGTGTTTGTGTGCGTTTATCACAGCGCATTTAGTTAAAGCGAGGGGGACGGGGTTGCTCCACTTCTACTTCTTCCTGTGAACGGTTTGGGTAGGAGAAAGCAATAAGTGTTGGATAAAACTGCAAGAAAATCTTCCAAAAGAAGAAAATAGCGACGGCGGAGTTGTAAAAATCACAAATCTGAAATAACAACATCTCTTCACTAACTAGAGAGTTATACAACGTCCAAAAATAGCACACCACGACAATAGTAACAAAGATTCTCTACTATAATTTGGTCGCTTTTAAGGACAAGCGGGCTCACCCAGATTTCGGGGGTTTCCAGAAATCTTGGCCTACACCAAAAGTGGGCATTGCTTTACTTATACGAAAAGTTTGGTTTCATTGGTGTGTATATTTGTTTGGTTATAAAGAAAACTCTTCTTGTCTTTTGAAGAAACTGAACACGGGGCAAAAACTTTACCTTCAATTTTCTCAAAACAGCATTTTCGGGATAGCCCCTTTGTGCTTTAAAGCGACCATATTATTGAGAATCTTTGAAAAGAATGGACTTTGAACACGGCAAGCAGGGGCGGGAGCGAGCAAGGGAAGCCACTCATGGAATTACAACAGTGTCACTTACTCCCCGAGGGGTCGCGTCCCTTGATCGTCAAGGTGGTGGGGGACTTGCCCGCACCCCACACCGGTTTCGCGTTTATGACGATGGTCCTAGGGTTGTTGCTGGTGGCGTTGGTCGTAGTTTTAGGCTTAATGGGTTTCAGAATGAGGGGAGTGGGGGAGGTGGAGGAGCGCTGGGAGGAGGCGGAAGAGGCCCTACCTCCCTGCTTGAGCTCTAAGGCTCGGGACGGGACTTTCACGGGAGCTGGCGAGGAGAGAAAGTTTGCGCCACGCTGTTTACAAGTGAACAAGAATACACGTACACGTACATTTAACGTTTTTGTGTACTCAACTTGATAATTCTTTTGATTACCAATAAACTCAGAAACCTCTGTTTTCATTGGTTTGAGTTTCATTTTGCATGTACATAAAATTATTTTAAAAATATTTCACGACTCTTAGGTTTGTAGGTCAGTAAGAAGGTAGGTATGACGGTAGTTATACAGGTAAGTACGTAGGTAGGTAGGTAGGTAGGTAGAAAGGCAAGTAAGTTGAAAGTGAATAGGTAGGTAAACAGGTAAGTTGCTAGGCAGACATGTAAGTAGGAAGGAAAGTAGATAGTCAAATAGATAGGAAGGTAGATAGGTAGTTAGTTAGGTAGACAGGTAAGTATAAAGGTAAGTGGGTAGCGAGGCAGATAAGCAGTTAGACAGGTAAATAGGTACATAAGTAGACAGCTAGGTATGCAGGTATGTAGGTAGGCAATCAGTTAGGCAGTTAGGCAGACAGGTAAGTGCGTAAGCAGGTAGCTAGGCATATAGATACGTAGTTAGGTAGGTAAGCAATTAGGTAGGCAGGTAAGTAGATTGGTAAGTGGATAGCTAGGTAAACAGGTAAGTAGGTACGTAAATAGGCAGCTAGGTATATAGATAAGTAGTTAGGTAGGTCGGCAATTAGGTAGGCAGGTAAGTAGACAGGTAAGTGCGCAGGATGTCGACAGCACTGAGAGCAAGACAACGGAGGAGACAAGGAGAGTATACAAAGTCTACTCACTGAAGGGAGGGATGGTGCTCTTGATCTGTGACCTCCGACCTCGGCTCTGTTCTTTCACCTGGTCCCGCTGTTTGGATTTCTGAGGAGAGAGAAGATAAAGTAAAGGTCAGATGAGGACACAGATGTCGACACAAATGACGACACAGATGACCAGAGATGATGGACACAGACGACGTTACAGATGACTACAGAGATGATGCTACAGATGACGTCGCAAACCATGTCACAGACAAACGCGTTCCTCCGTCTGTTCAGGTGAACGTAAGCGAGTCTCTCTCTCTCTCTCTCTCTCTCTCTCTCTCTCTCTCTCTCTCTCTCTTTCTCTCTCTCTCCCCCTCTCTCTCTCTCCCTCTCTCTC